CCTGCGCCTAGCCTGGCCAGGCTGAATTCACCCAGCCCCTCTGAGCAGAGAGCTTACAGCCACGTTCCTCTGCTGCCCTCCACAGGGCCGAGGAGAGCGTGAGAACTTCAGACGGGGCTGCTCAGGCCCGCCTGCTTTTCACTCCCCTTACGCTGGGGACAGTTTCACAGAGCAACAGATGAAACCTCTCCGAGAACATCGACAAAGCCTGACAGCTATGGTCACTGCAAAGGGTGGTTTTTCCCCCTCTCTTATCTGGAATTTTGTCTGTGCTCAATAATGCAGATGCTGAAACAATTGGTTACGTAGTACAACTAATTGTATTATTCAGTCTTCAATATAATAGCCAGGGTGAGCCTACATGAAGGCAGGAGACCTCCAGTGGTCAGACATCCTAATCCCTGGTTTGCTTTACGAAGGTATCACGTGTGTATATAAGGCCAACTCACGCAGGGGTCATAAAACCCCTCATGCATTTAGTTCCAGAGGTCCCACGTTTGACCCCTACTGCTGACACCCCTGTGGGGGTTGATATATAGCTACAGTCCTGCTTTGAGTGCATTAGACCTGACTAGACGACTTACTGAGGTCCCTTCCAGCCCTTTGTTTTACAGTCAAAATAACAATTCGCTAGCAAGCCCTGTCAGTCCGGCGAGGCTGCGTTCTTACTGCTGTGCTGGACCAGCTGCTCTGGAGTGCTCTTCATAAGAAGGAATTGGAAATGTTACTTGTGCAGGTGAGCGGAGCTGCTTTATGGGAAAGGCAGATACCGGATTCCTAAGAAGAAAAAGAAAGGGAATGGTCATTTCCACTGTCAGTATTGAAAAGGTTCCTACAGAAAGTCCTGCTGTTGGCTCTTGCAAGCCTGGGGCTGCACGGCCTGTGTAAGTACCTGGAGCCCGAGAGAGGAACTCCAGCACAGAATTGGTAAGTAGATTGACTTCCCTCCCCTCCACATAGGTCACATTTTTTAAAAAAGGGGGCGGGGGGGGGGGGGTCCAGAGGTTAGACAGGGCTCAGGGCACTCACCTGGGATGGAAACCCAGGGTCAAGCTGCTGCTCAGACTCAGCAGAGCACTGGAACGTGGGCCCCCGACATCCGAGGGGAGGGTTGCACCACTGGATCCAGTCCGTCTCCGTTTTCTCAATCTCCCAGTGGAAGCTCATTTGACGTTCCCCGGGCCAAAGAGCTAGAGACCGACTCTCGAGCCCAGTGACAGGTGCCTTCCCTGGGGAGACCCGGGGCCGCGTCTCTGCTCCAGCCACCACACAAAGTGGACCAGCTCCAAGGGAAGGGACAGCAAGAGCCCTGTGAGTGCCCAAAGTGACCCCCCCACCCCCCAAGTCCAGTGTGCCTGTGACTCAACAGCTGCCCCCAGCCTGGGTGTAAGTGAGGGCACCTGGGCCGGAGGAGGGGGCAGGGGAGGGCCGGGGAGACCGAAGGAGCAGCAGAGGCCTGCCTGAGGGAAAGCTGCCAACAGAGAGTTTGGAGGACAGCTGGTGGCGGGGACTGGCTGGAGCCGGGGAGCCCTGCTGAGTGGCAGGGAGGCTCCTAGGAACGAGGGGAAGAGCCAGCATGGACCGCGTAAGCCAGACCCAGACGCAGGGCTCACAGCCAGGAGGTCTGAGGAGCGTGCCAACGCAGGGAGCCCTACGGCAGAAGACCTGGCACCCAAGTGGAGGGCTGTGGGAGGAGCCAAGGAACAAGGGGGGGTACTGGCAGGAGGTTCCCCAGAACAGGGGTAGGACTCCTCGACTGGGAGGCCGGGACGAGTGGAATCCTGCCAGGGGCCCTCTCACAGGAGACCTGAGTGGGGGCGACGGGAGAAGAGTTGTGGAGGGAAGCGAGTCTGGGAGGTCTTGGGGGGAGGCCTGGAGAGTGGAGGCCTGGAAAGGGGGCTGATGAACCAGACAGAGGGGTGAGACAGTACTCCTTTGCATGGGCAACTACAGGGGAAACTGAGGTAGGTGCATCTGTCATACTGCCATTTGCTATTGGAAGTAGCCCCAGGCAGGGCTGCTTTGTCACAAGCCCCATCCCAGAATACCCCATAGCCTGGTGGTTAGGGGACACCCTGGGATGTGAGGGACCCAAATGAAGGCCCTGCTCTGAGTCAGACAGATTAATCACGAGATGGGTTGGGTCACAGAGACCCCCTTGGGACTTCCACCTGATATGCTGAGACTGCCTCTGAGCCTGTTTCTCCTGGCAGCTTGGGAACCCTGCCTGGTTGTGCCAGACACACTAGCCTGCTGCAAACACAGACCCAGGTCTGACCCACGTCCTCCAGAGCTGGAGACTTAACTGAAAACAGCTTAAGAAGTGCTCCTGTCTCCAGCACCCAGATACCCAGTTCCCAATGGGATCAAAACCCCAAATAAATCCATTTTACTCTGGATAAAGCTTATACAGGGTAAACTCATAAATTGTCCACCCTCTATAACATTGATAGAGAGATTTGAACAGCTGTTTGCCCCCCCCCCCCAGGTATTAATCACTTACTCTGGGTTTATCAATAAACAAAAGTGATTTTATTAACTATAAAAAGCAGTATTTAAGTGGTTCCAAGTAATAACAGACAGAACAAAGTAAATTACCAAGCAAAACAAAACAATAACACGCAAGTCTAAGCCTAATACAGTAAGAAACTGATTACAGATGAAACCTCACCCTCAGAGATGTGCCAATAAGCTTCTTTCACAGACTAGACTCGTTTCTAGTCTGGGCCCAATCCTTCCCCCTGGTACAGCCCTTGTTCCAACTCAGGTGGTAGCTAGGGGATTTCTCATGACTGCAGCCCTCTTTGTTCTCTTCCACCCCCTTATATGGCTCTGGCACAAGGCAGGAATCTTTTGCCTCTCTGGGTCTCCATGCCTCCTTTTAAATGGAAAAGCACCAGGTTAAAGATGGATTCCAGTACTAGGTGACATGGTCACATGTCCTGTGAGATCCCAAGCCTTCATTCCTCCCGGCCTGACTCACAGGAAGCCTTGCAAGTAAACCGCGCACCGCTCAGTCAATTGTCCTCATTGATGGGCGCCATCAAGATTCTACAAAAAGAACAGGAGTCCTTGTGGCACCTTAGAGACTCACAAATTTATTTGAGCATAGGCTTTCGTGGGCTACAGCTCACTTCATCGGATGCATGTGGATACAGACTAACACGGCTGCTACTCTGAAACCTATCAAGATTCTAAACCACCATTAATGGCCCACACTTCGCATAACTACACGTGATGTTATGAGTGTAATATAATATCTCATTGAAAGGTGATAGGGCCAGAAAGAGTTAATTAACTCACAGACTGACCTGACCCAGGGCCAGACTCTAAAGACTTGTTAGGAAGAGATGTAAATGAATAGAGCTTTGTAATGCAAGCCTGCATTGTTAGAGATAGAAGGATAGATGTTTGCTCAGGTCTTGTGATGTCAGCAAACAAGTCTTGTCTATGGCTATAGCTTTGATTCAAAGATCAAAAAAGTCATATGAACATTTAGGAAGACACTTGAGTGAAATAGTATAATTGTCTATATGTCTCTTTGAAGGTTGTGGTAACCTGTGTCTGAACTGTTTAATGGATAAATTACCCTGTGCTAATTGCCATGATGTTTAGGAGAAGGAAAGTTAAGACTATTGTTTTCTCAGCCCAAAAGGCTGCTGGAAATGTATAAAAACCCTGGGACATGATCCTTCTTCATCTCAGATCAGCTTTGGGTTTCAAGAAGGGGAAACCTTAAGCCATAAGGATTGAGATCCCCAGTCACTGACGGGAATCTCCCTGAATATGGACATTGGACTATAACCTCTGGACTATTTCTAAAAGGACTTTTTGCAACTACAAGCTCATCTCTGCTCTGTATCTGAACCTCAAGAATTGAACTCAAGTCTGTCTGTATATTGATCTTTTAACCAACACTCTCTCTCTTTTCTTTTTTAATACATTTTAGTTTAGTTAATAAGAATTTACTATAAGCGTGTATTTGGGGTAAGAGCTGAGTTATCATTGATCTGGGTCTGGGGTTTGGTCCTTTGGGGTCAGGAGAACCTTTTCTTTTATATGATGAAATCAGATTTTCAGAATTTTATCATCCTATGTTTGACAGGTGTGTCTGGATGGAGGCCTGAGGCTGGATCACTTTAAGGGAACTGCATTATTTGGGCTTCTGAGTAACCAGGGAGATGCTGTAGAAGCTGTTTTGGGCTGGCTGGGTAAATCTAAGTATTGGAATATCCAACAGCCTTTGGGGTTTGTCTTCCCCGGTCTGTTTGCAGTTCACCCTGATTGAGTGACCTCAGCTGGCTCCCACGGGCAGCATCGTCATGCTACAATAGGACCTCAGAATTATATTTCATATTTCTACAAGAATAATACATTTATACAAATAGGATGACCACACTCAATAGATTATAAGCTTTGTAATGAAAGCTTACAAGAGACCTTTCGTATGAAGCATATTCCAGTTACATTATATTCACACTCATTAGCATATTTTCATAGAATCATATGGAGTGCAACATCACAAATCAGTTAACGACAGTGTCACAAAACATACACAGGGCGGGGCTGTGCTCAGACTGCCAGGGCCTTCTGGCATGTCCCAACATGTGAATGCTTGACTTTGCAACCTTAATAATGTTCTTTTTAACATTGTGTTTTGCACGTTCTATCGATCCGTTTGTTCTCTTTATAATAATTTCTAAGAAGCTCGTCATCTGAGCTCCTGTAGTTCAAGAAGCTCAAAGGAACAGCTATTTTCGATTTGTAGAGGACTTTGATTGACAAGTACAAAATACACTCAGCCCATGTGGAATTAGAGCAGTATGGGGAAGCATCAAATGAAACTACGTGTATCAGGAATGGTAGCCTGCCAGATTCAGCTTCATTATGTGGTGTCCTACCTCGTCCCACTGCATTTCTCTACCCAACATCATTTCAACCCAATTTCATTTCTAAACAGACTCTTTGGCGAGTTTCATGGTTCAGCCCAGCTGCCACATTCAACGTGAGAAGACGTGGGTCACTCCTTCCCACACCTGTTTGCTCCTCATCCCGTAAATGATGGGGTTCAGCATGGGGGGGATGATGACATAGAGGTTGGCCAGTAGGATGAGGGTATGGCGGGGGATGTGGCTGCCAAACCGATGGGTGCTCCAAGAGAAAAACGCTGGGGTGTAAAACATCAATATGACACAGATGTGGGAGCCGCACGTGTTCAGAGCCTTGAGATGGATGCCCTGGGATGGCAACCTAAAGAGAGACCTGAGGATGGAAGCGTAGGAGACTGCAATAAAGAGAGCATCCAATCCTGCTGATAGGAAACCAGCTGCTAAACCATACCAAATATTGACTGTTAGGTCCCCACAGGCCAGCGTGGCCACACCCATGTGCTCGCAGTACGTGTGAGGCATAATATTATGTCCACAGTAGTCGAGCCGTTTAAGGAGAAAGACGGCTGGGAACATTATACAGAAGCTCCTGGTTAGAGCGGCCATGGCTATCTTCCTGATCACGGAGTGTGCTAATACAGTTGTGTACCGCAGGGGGTCGCAGATGGCAACGTACCGATCAAAGGCCATGGCCAGTAGGATGGCCGACTCGGTAATGAAAATAAAATAAATGAAAAACATCTGGGTGAGGCAGCCATTGAAAGAGATCTCCTTGGAGAGAGACCAGAAAACACTTAGGGTTTTCGGCACCGTGGAGGACGATAACAGCAGATCGGCCACTGTTAACATGGATAGGAAGATGTACATGGGCTCATGGAGACTAGACTCTGTTATGATGGTGAATAGGAGGACAGAGTTCCCGAGAAGGGCAACAACGTACATCAGACAGAAGGGGATGGAGAGCCAGATGTGCGCCTGCTCCATGCCTGGGATGCCGACCAGCACGAATCATAGAATCATAGAATCATAGAATATCAGGGTTGGAAGGGACCCCAGAAGGTCATCTAGTCCAACCCCCTGCTCGAAGCAGGACCAAATCCCAGTTAAATCATCCCAGCCAGGGCTTTGTCAAGCCTGACCTTAAAAACCTCTAAGGAAGGAGATTTTACCACCTCCCTAGGTAACGCATTCCAGTGTTTCACCACCCTCTTAGTGAAAAAGTTTTTCCTAATATCCAATCTAAACCTCCCCCACTGCAACTTGAGACCATTACTCCTCGTTCTGTCATCTGCTACCATTGAGAACAGTCTAGAGCCATCCTCTTTGGAACCCCCTTTCAGGTAGTTGAAAGCAGCTATCAAATCCCCCCTCATTCTTCTCTTCTGCAGGCTAAACAATCCCAGCTCCCTCAGCCTCTCCTCATAACTCATGTGTTCCAGCCCCCTAATCATTTTTGTTGCCCTTCGCTGGACTCTCTCCAATTTATCCACATCCTTCTTGAAGTGTGGGGCCCAAAACTGGACACAGGACTCCAGATGAGGCCTCACCAATGTCGAATAGAGGGGAACGATCACGTCCCTCGATCTGCTCGCTATGCCCCTACTTATACATCCCAAAATGCCATTGGCCTTCTTGGCAACAAGGGCACACTGCTGACTCATATCCAGCTTCTCGTCCACTGTCACCCCTAGGTCCTTTTCCGCAGAACTGCTGCCTAGCCATTCGGTCCCTAGTCTGTAGCTGTGCATTGGGTTCTTCCGTCCTAAGTGCAGGACCCTGCACTTATCCTTATTGAACCTCATCAGATTTCTTTTGGCCCAATCCTCCAATTTGTCTAGGTCCTTCTGTATCCTATCCCTCCCCTCCAGCGTATCTACCACTCCTCCCAGTTTAGTATCATCCGCAAATTTGCTGAGAGTGCAATCCACACCATCCTCCAGATCATTTATGAAGATATTGAACAAAACCGGCCCCAGGACCGACCCTTGGGGCACTCCACTTGATACCGGCTGCCAACTAGACATGGAGCCATTGATCACTACCCGTTGAGCCCGACAATCTAGCCAGCTTTCTACCCACCTTGTAGTGCATTCATCCAGCCCATACTTCCTTAACTTGCTGACAAGAATACTGTGGGAGACCATGTCAAAAGCTTTGCTAAAGTCAAGAAACAATACATCCACTGCTTTCCCTTCATCCACAGAACCAGTAATCTCATCATAGAAGGCGATTAGATTAGTCAGGCATGACCTTCCCTTGGTGAATCCATGCTGGCTGTTCCTGATCACTTTCCTCTCATGCAAGTGCTTCAGGATTGATTCTTTGAGGACCTGCTCCATGATTTTTCCAGGGACTGAAGTGAGGCTGACTGGCCTGTAGTTCCCAGGATCCTCCTTCTTCCCTTTTTTAAAGATTGGCACTACATTAGCCTTTTTCCAGTCATCCGGGACTTCCCCGGTTCGCCATGAGTTTTCAAAGATAATGGCCAATGGCTCTGCAATCACAGCCGCCAGTTCCTTCAGCACTCTCGGATGCAACTCGTCCGGCCCCATGGACTTGTGCACGTCCAGCTTTTCTAAATAGTCCCTAACCACCTCTATCTCCACAGAGGGCTGTCCATCTCTTCCCCATTTTGTGATGCCCAGCGTAGCAGTCTGGGAGCTGACCTTGTTAGTGAAAACAGAGGCAAAAAAAGCATTGAGTACATTAGCTTTTTCCACATCCTCTGTCACTAGTTTGCCTCCCTCATTCAGTAAGGGGCCCACACATTCCTTGGCTTTCTTCTTGTTGCCAACATACCTGAAGAAACCCTTCTTGTTACTCTTGACATCTCTGGCTAGCTGCAGCTCCAGGTGCGATTTGGCCCTCCTGATATCATTCCTACATGCCCGAGCAATATTTTTATACTCTTCCCTGGTCATATGTCCAACCTTCCACTTCTTGTAAGCTTCTTTTTTATGTTTAAGATCCGCTAAGATTTCACCATTAAGCCAAGCTGGTCGCCTGCCATATTTACTATTCTTTCGACTCATTGGGATGGTTTGTCCCTGTAACCTCAACAGGGATTCCTTGAAATACAGCCAGCTCTCCTGGACTCCTTTCCCCTTCTGTATCCTATCCCTCCCCTCCAGCGTATCTACCACTCCTCCCAGTTTAGGAGGAATGTTGTGGGGTGGGACCTAGTGGAATTGATCACTGACATGGTACGATGCAGGCCACGCAGGCTCCCCGGCCTGTGGGGGAAGACAAGAACAGTCGCTGTCAGAATCACTAAAACTACAGAGTTAATTGCCAGTAATGTTCATAGCCCCACTTCCCCCATTTGGGTGAGCTGGCGTTCTCAGGGTGTATTCTCTATTTGCAAATAGTCAATGACTAGTTTGAATGAATGTCGGGTGGTGGTTTGGTCATGAGCTTGTTTCCTCCAGCTATTCACTACTCATTATCTGAGCTCTGTGATTGGCCACTGTCACAGACCCACAGGATCCTGCTGCACCCCCAGCTTTGGAACCCCTTCAGCATGCCAGACCCCAAGTGGTCTCCCTCTTCCTCTGGAGTAGGTCATTCAGCCCTCCGGCTTCACACCATGAGCTCTGCCCAGCGAGTCCAACAGAGGCAGACAGACCCCTGGGAGACACTGGTCATAGAATCATAGAATCACAGAATATCAGAGTTGGAAGAGACCTCAGGAGGTCATCTAGTCCAACCCCCTGCCCAGAGCAGGACCAATCCCCAACTAAATCATCCCAGCCAGGGCTTTGTCAAGCCTGACCTTAAAAACCTCTAAGGAAGGGGATTCCACCACCTCCCTAGGTAACGCATTCCAGTGTTTCACCACCCTCCTAGTGAAAAAGTTTTTCCTAATATCCAACCTAAACCTCCCCCACTGCAACTTGAGACCGTTACTCCTCATTTTGTCATCTGCTACCACTGAGAACAGTCTAGAGCCATCCTCTTTGGATCCACCTTTCAGGTAGTTAAAAGCAGCTATCAAATCCCCCCTCATTCTTCTCTTCCGCAGACTAAACAATCCCAGTTCCCTCAAAATAAGAAGGTCCATGCTGCAAGGGTTAATGCCCCTTGCCCAGCATTTGCAGTGACACTCAAACAGCATTGTCAAAACAGTGGGCTTATTCCTCAAGGAATGCAGCATGGGAAGTCCTAGGTAAGCACAGAGAACTGATGGTTAAAGCATCATTTGTTCTGATCAGCCCAGGGCGCTGCCAAGCTGGAGTGAGCCCCATTGTTCAGGCTCTGTCTGTCTCTGTGTCAATGTCCCGGTGACTGGCTTTGCCATTGTCTTCTCCAATTCTCCACTGATATGGGGACCCCTCGGCCAGTCCTATTTAGTGACCCATTCAGGCTCAGATAGCTGGGAGACGTTCCTAACTATGTTTCTTAGCCTACCCCGAGATCAAACAGTCCTCCCCCACTCCCCCGGATAAAAATGCAAAATAGCGGGGAAACTGAGGCATGTGTAGGCTACATAAAAATATGACAGAAAATTCTCACTTCACCACAGCCACGTAGAATCATGTCTGCTTCCTGAATGGGATCATTTTGATAAGGAGAATAACAAACATATGGAAGGGACAATGCCCTTCTGGGTTGTATTTTGGAGGGACAAACATTCATGCTAAAATGTAGGAAACATTCAGATTTTCAATACCTTGTGTGACCATGCCCTCCTGGGCAAAGTCTTCCCAGCCTGATCGAGTTGCTGTCTCACAGTAACTTAGCACCAGGGTGAGTGATGGCACAAAGTGCTGGCCAGGAGAGAATCAGACTGGGTGAAAAGACCTGCAGAACAGAATCCCACCCCAACAGATTTACTGTCATCGAATCCCGATAGCCCCGTGTGCCAGGCATCGAATCCCAATAGCCTCATGTGCCAGGCGTCAAATCCCGGTAGCCCACCTGTTCAAGGGGACCTACAGATTCGTTTTACAGTACCTAAAGAGGAGAAAAAAGCAAAAAGCTTCCAGCCCCAGTTTGGGTCTCAAACTCCAGTTACCAATGGGCGTTTGATATTTCGGTGGGGTCACACCCTGACATCCAGCTCTCTGAGGCAGGGACTGGCTTTTTCTTATGTGTCCATACAGCACCTAGCACAATGGGGCCCTGATCCCCAATGTGGGCCCCTAGGCCCTACTGCGATACAAAACATACTCCTAATCGTCCCCTGAGGCTCTTCACCCCTGTCTTCTGGAGTGTGGCACGGGGCAGGAGCCAGCCCAGCATCTGTGGCAAACATGGTGGTGTGCACTGTCCTGACATCAGAGATGGACTCGCTCCGTACGGTCCCGCTCCAGGAAGAGGAATCGCCTGGCTAAGATCTGAGCAGGTGACTCCGCTGACCCCATGGAAGTACAGGTCCCACCCCCCTCCCAGAGATCCTTACCTCTGTCGGCTCAGGGCATGGCCGGGTGTCCTGGGCAGCGAGGCCACATTATACTAAACCTGTCTGGGCCAGTGGCTTCTCCCAGCCCCGAGCCTAGAAGCTGCATTTCCTCCAGCTACAGATTCCCTGCCCCTCCCTCCAATCACAGCCCTCACCGCACCGGGCCCTGCTGAATGCCCAAGAGCTGCTCCTGACCCAGACGGCTAAGGCCAGCAACTCACCAGGCTCCTGCCCCAGCCGGGGAGGAGGAATCTCCGCCCATGATCAGGGTGCGGAGTAGCAGGTGGTGGGGAATCCGCACTGACTGGGGCTGGCATCGGATATTCATAGTGCTACCCTGGGGATCCCAGCGGGGGCTCCAAGCCAGCAGGGAGCCCCAGGAACCTGATCTCTGTGACTCAGGTGGTGAAGAGCAACAGGGATTTAACCCTTCGTTTCTCTGTGCATTTTTCTGCATTAGCATTATCGGCATGATAAGTCTGCCCTCCTGTAGCCCAAGGTGCTTTCTCATTGAACCGGGATCCCATTTCCGTATCTGATGGGGCTGTGCTCAGTGACCCAGGAGGTCACTTCCAGCCCCACACACCAGCCCCCCCGTGCAGGAACGATCGGCCCGGTTAGGCGGCGACAGAGCATCAAGCCCTGGGTTGCTCATCAGCCCCAGAACAGAGACCAGGGATCTCTGCCGAGTGTGCTGCATGGCTCTGGCTTGGCAGGTGCCCCGTCCTGCGGTCCCTGGCAAGGGAATCAAAGCGGGAGCATTTTATACCCACTCTCGACAGCTGCGCCTGCGGAGGCAGGTCGCCCGGCAGGGCAGCCTCAGGCCCTCTGCATCAGGTGTGGCATCTCACCCAGGGACTGTTACCACTTTGCAGCAGCGATCTGCGATTTCAGTGGCTCTTTAACTTTTCTGCGCCCACAGGCACAGAGCAACACAGCTGATAAAGGGTTAATCCTTGTGGAAATTCCAGTAGCCGGTTTTCTGGTCGTCAGCTGGTTCTGGAACCCAGCAATGGATTTATCGGGCCCCTGGTTCCCGGGGCTACTGGTCCTCCCCGAGAAATCAGCAGAGACCTAGGGGAGGTTTGGAATGGAGTCTGCTGGAATTTCTACAGAGCAAGCAGCCACTTGCATTGCATGCTGCAGGGAGGCTGAAATCAGAGGAGAAGAGACGGCAGTCCTGTGCTTGGAGTGGGTCACTGGGAGCTAGGACTCCTGGGTTCAGCTGGTATCAGCCAGCTTCCCAACAGGCATGGAGCTTTGAGAGGCCAGTCTGGATTTCTCCAGAATTAGGAAGTCATCAGGAGGCCAGAATACAGCTGAGTAAATCAACTAATCGCTCACTCACGGCTCTGCTGTTGGGCAATTTTAGGCAAGACCGTTATAATCTGTTAGCCACCCAGTGAAATCGGGCTGCTAACCCTTGCTCACAAGGAGTTTCATTGCCCATGTTGCTGCAGCGGTGTCAATCCCAGGATGTTACAGAGACAAGGTGGGGGAGGTGATAACTTTTATGGGACCAACTTCAGCTGGTGAGCTTGTCTCCCTCCCCACCTTGTCTCTCTCAGAGTCCTGCAGCGAGAAAAGGCACCTATGAAGGCCTTGATCAGCAGCACACTTAAGCGCATGCTTTACTTTAAGCATATGTTAACTCTGTCCCCATTCAGTAAAGTACTTAAGTATATGCTTAACTTTGAAGATAAAAGGTGTGGCTACACTGCAATTAGAAACCCAGGCCTGGCTCATGCAGCTGACTCAGGCTCCAGGAGCCTGAGCCCCGATGTCTACACCACAATGAAACAGCCCCTTCACCCGAGCCCTGGGGGCCCAAATCAGCTAGCCGGGGCCCAAATCAGCTGGTCTGGGCCAGCCACAGGGGTCTAATTGCAATGTAGCCATACTCACTGGGTCTTAAGTGTGTACTTAGAGCAGGGGTGGCCAACCTGTGGCTCCGGAGCCCCACACGGCTCTTCAGGAGTTAATGGGCGGCTCCTTGTCTAGGCACCGACACCGGGGCTGGAGCTACAGATGCCAACTTTCCAATGTGCTGGGGGGGCGCTCACTGCTCAACCCCTGGATCTGCCACAGGCCCTGTCCCCACTGCACCCCTTCCCCTGAGCCTGCCGTGCCCTCGCTCTCCCCCCACCCCCGCAGCCTCTTGCATGCCACGAAACAGCTGATCAGGAGGTGTGGGGAGGGGGAGGCGCTTATGGGCGGGGCTGCAGGTGAGCAGGGGGTGCTGGGAGTGTGGGGGGGAAGCTGATGGGGGGCTGCTGACATATTACTGTGGCTCTTTGGCAATGTACATTGGTAAATTCTGGCTCCTCTTCAGGCTCGGGTTGGCCACCCCTGGCTTAGATGGATGCAAGCACATATTAAAGCACAGACCATGCTTAAGTGCTTTGCCAAGTTAGGGTCTAAGGGCAAATAATCACAAAGGGCCCACTGTAAAGTCCAGTGAAGTCACTGGGAGAGTTTCTATGGACTTCAACGGACTCTGGCTCAGGCCCCAAATCCACCTTGCATTTCGCTCAGCCCCTTTCCTGCCTGGCTGGCTTCTGAGTGAGGCGTGCAGGAAGGCCAACTGCGGTGAAAGCCCTGACGTGCGATATGTGAACCAGCCTCGCTAGCCAAGCAGCTGCCCGGGGAGCTAGCCCAACCCTGGTGTTCAGAAAGATATTTTCTCTCTGCGAGGGAGCCATTGGAAAGGAGCTGTGAACACTGTGCTTTCCCAAGGAGCAGTGGGGCAATTCAGCTAACATTTTAACCAATCTCCGAGTATAAATCTTCCTAAGGAGCTGACTAAT